AGTCCCTCAATGTGTAGAAAAGCTGCCCTTAAAAAAAAAAACCCTCATCGGTGAAAAAAAAACCAGCTCGAGCCAGTCGCCTCGACAGGCCAAGCGAGGAATCCCCGGAGGACCCGGATGAAGAGGAGAAGGAGGGGGGAGGAGGAGGTGGTGGCGGCAGAGCACGTTGCGTCGTCTGAATGCCGCCCCTCCTTTCTAGGGAACGCGCCCCTTCTCCAGGGAAGCGAAGGGACAGACAAGGAATCCCTCCTCGGGGGCGGCAGAAGAAAGAGCCGTGAAGGAGCCGCCTGCGCGGATTCTTCACGTGCCTCAGCAGTTCACGTGCGCTACCCCCGCCGCCCGGCCCCCTCACCGGAGACCCTTCAGGGAGCGATACTTACTTCCCGGAGCCGCTCACTCCCATGACCACCAGCAGCACCGCCATCCCGAGGAAGTCGGCCGGCGACTGCTCGCCCTTTGCCTGGCTGCGCACCTGCTCTCCTCAGGCCGCCTTTCCTTCCTTCCTTCGCATTCCCCGCCTCAACCCTCCCTTTGCTTTGCTTTGCTTTCTCTCGCCCAGGCCGGCCCCTCTCTAGCCCAGCTTTTCCTTCCCTTTCGGACCCGGGAAAACGGGGAGGCAGACAATACGGCTAAAGTCCATGGGCTCTTCAGGAGTCGGAAGCCAAACCGAATTACTCACTAGGGCGGGGGGGTGAATAGGTGTTATTTAACCAGGGCTTAAGTTTGAGTCAAGAGAGCTGTCGACCTGGGATTTGGTGCACTTTTTAATTAAGTGTGTGTGATACTGTGTGACCTTCCCCAAGACACAACCAGCAATTAAGATCGAATCAGGAGATTAGTACAGTATGTGCTGGAAGAATGCAGCAATTGGGTGGAAAGGCTGGGTCTGAGTTGGTTTTTCACTGAGCCCACTGCTGGTTTTGCTTTCCCTTCTGAGAAGCGGTGGAAAGTGGTATAAAGTATGTGCTTGGGGAATTTAGCTTTGTGCCTTCCAAAAGCACATGCAGACAGGCACGCTTACCCTCTTCCAGGACCTCTCTAAACTTTTGTTGCCCTGGCTCACAGTCCCAGTTGCTATCCTTGACTTAGGACTCTGCCTTTCCTTCTAGGAGGGAGCAACTGCTTTATTTATATGCATGCCTTCTGGTTCTGGTTTCAACAATAAGTCATAAGTTTTAACTTTCTCAAAATGTGACAAATCCCCTTTGAATGATAGGGGTGAAGAATTCGTAACTCCCTGGCTCACTTAGGTATGTGGCCCAATACATCAGGTGCATGGTCCATTAACATTATTGCTGGGGGTGGTAAACGCAGCCTACCTTCGGCTCCCAAACCTTCTTGCCCAGGTGTTGCCTCAATCTCGGTGGGAAGGGAGTGGCCCCACGGGATCTCCCAGGGTTCTCCATACATCTCCTCTGCTCTCTTCTCTGGGCCTCTCTTTGCTGCCAGGCAGCTATAACAATTATCCAACAAACTGCACCAGAGCACAGACAGAGTTCTGACTCCTGTCCTCCGAAGATGCCGGCCACAGAGACTGGCGAAACGTTAGGAAGAGCAACCTTCAGAACATGTCCAAAGAGCCCGAAAAACCCACAACAACCATCAAAGTAAGGATATGCCCATTTAAATTTAATTATGTGCAATCTAGTCAATTCTGACTTACGGCTTTTCAGGGTTTCCTAGATATAGAGCACTCAGAAGTGGTTTACCATTTCCTTTTTACAGGGCACTCGGGGGCTGTGCAGCTTGGTCAAGACTACAAAGGCTAACAATTTTCCCAGGAAAAACAGTGCAGAATCAAACTCCCAACTTCTGTTTCCATATCCAGGTATCTAACTTGATATGGAAGCTGAGGCTCCAATACTTCAGCCATCTCATGAGAAGAGAAGACTCCCTGGGAAAGACCCTGATGTTGGGAAAGTGTGAAGGAAAGAGGAGAAGGAGATGACAGAGGACGAGATGGTTGGACAATGTCGTCGAAGCTACCAACATGAATTTGACCAAACTCTGGGAGGCAGTGGAAGACAGGAGGGCCTAGCGTGCTCTGATCCATGGGGTCATGAAGAGTTGGACACGACTTAATGACTAAACAGCAACAAAAACTTGAGTAAGGCACAAAGATTTCTGAAACTTTTGAAGTGTAAATATAATTTTGAACAATATCTTTGAAACTAATATTTGATGTTTAACTTTGTCACTGTGTTTCCTCTTATTTCCCTTTCTGCCATCTTACATTCATCTAGGAAAACCTGCATATTGTCCTAATGACAGGAGACATCCTATCCCCATCTGCACACCCTTGTCCATCATGTTCAGACTGACAGGAAAGGAGCTTAAATGTAAATTAAAAATAAGCACATTGTATCTTTTAATCTGTTTGGATGATATGGAGGCAGTTATCTAGAGAAATTTAGTTTTGTTGCTGTGATGACAAAACATTTCCCTTTCAATGTTTAAAAACTGGTTTCTGATAATATATGGAAACATTTATGCAGAATATAGATTGAAGTGGAATTTTGTGTTACCATGCATCAGTTTTGCAGCCACATCTTATCTACATGAGGCTCCTATGCTCTGATTTAATTTTCTACACTGGAACTCCACCCCAGGGCTCCTGAAGGACACCAGAGCATAGGGCTGTTTAGGTTTTATGCTTTTTTGACGCATGTCTGGAATCCAGTAGCTCCCCCAACCAAAGAGACTCCAGTAGTGTTTAAAACACAAAAGTTAAACTTTATTTCAAAGACTTGAACACAGCATCGAAATGCTAAGCTGGTTGATTCTTGAACATTCAGTTTCTGTGCAATTGTATCTCTGTTAACCTTTCCCTGAACTCTTCCAACTGTTTTTGTCTCCTTTACACCACATCACTCTACTCCTCATTATCTCCCACAGCTTCCAATAACAAACACAACCTCCCTGGGCTCTATAAGGGCTCCTCCACTCTTTTACCTCTTTCACAAAATTTTGAGGGCTGGGATAAACTAAGCTCAAGAAAAGACAAATGTCCATGCAGCTTGTCTCATCTCTGTACATTTTAATACAACCAGACTCAGTTTTGAATCATATTTATATGTTGAAAGAGGATATCCAGTTTTAGGGATGCTAGAGAAATAAACAACATACACTTTAATGCAAAAAATCAGGATTTGTATTAAAACAAAGATAACGCCACCCATGCTCCCATGTTTCCATTGCTGTGGCAGTCTGAGGCTGACACGGCAGCCCTAGTGGCTGCTGACTTGGAAAAGGCATGTGAAAAAAAAATCTTATAAAGCAAACATTTTGAAGAAGACTTTGGTCTGACCACTGTTACTAGCAATTCCCTACCCACACCCACGCACCCCAAATGTAGATTTTTCTTTCCCCCTGTTGTGATGAGATTGAGCTGGATGCTTGACTTTCCAACTTCTATACTGCAATAAACATACTGCTACAAACATGTGAATGTAACACATAGAGATTAGGCCTATCTTTTTCCTGCCTTCTCTGTGAAAACAGGTAGGGTTAGTTAATGAAACAGCAGCAGCACCATGATTGGTTATGTGCTTGGACTTAATGCCTATTCTGTATTGTGATTCTTGTTGGGATCCTAGAGGGAGATGATTGCGTTTGTGTATGGCACCCAGGAATAGTTATCTTCTTGGATGCCTCAGGTAGTGTTCCTGCCTGCTGATGAATCCATAGGAGGTGGAAGAAGAGAACAACATGCCATCTGCAGAACATCTCTGCAGTCTGTAGATGTTGTCTGAGAACTGTGCATGAGCATCCTCTCTTTTTTGTGTGTGCACAGTCCTCCAGATAATGCAAGTGGCACTGACTGGTGATACTAGTGCTAGTAAGTCTGATGTAAACCCTATCCTACAACAAACACACACCATGTTCTAACTGCTGACCAGCCAGAAGATGGTGTGTGGTTGATGTACGATAGGGTTAGGTTGGGTCTTGGGTGACCTTTGGCTCAAAGGGGTACACCATGTCTGGACCTACAGGATTATCTCATTGATAATTTGTTTACTATAGTTCTAAATAATCTTTCAGCTAAAAGGGTTCTCCAAATAGGAAAAAACAAACAAAAACAAAATAATTTAGATCTGAAAAATTATCCCAAAGTTAACAAGGCATGCATCAAAAGCAAGGATAATTTAAAAGGATCTAATCTTTGAACTCACTCTGAATGGTTAGGGCTCAGGTGGCCCTCTGCTCACTTGATGTGGTGTGCTCACATCCAGTAATATCCTATGTTGTTCAGCATCTAATGAGATGCATAGTGACTGGTGTCTTTTTGCATAAAGATACCACGAACCCTTAGACCAGACCTTGCCATGAACAAATTCCATTTGCTCCACAAGAACCATGTAAGAAAGAAAAAAAGAAATCATGTCAGCTTTCAGTTATTTGTGATCTTCAGTTTTCCTGCATGAGGACAAGCATTGTCCAATGTAGGCAAATCTTGGAATTTGCTGCAGACCTGTCTTCAGCCAGAAATATTACCCATCGTGCTAAATGTCTCATTTTTCACTAGCTGAGCAGATGTCCCACAAAAGAGTATGTTTAGTTATTTCATGACATTTATTTTGAGCTCAAAATGGTGGAAAACAAATAGATTGCATGCTAACTAATAAATGCACAGTAAGACTACCTTGGCTCATTATTCTGAAACATCTTTAGAGTAACTGAAGAAAGAAAGAGGGTCTGTGCTTTTTATAGCCGTGCATTACAGCTATTTTTTTAGATATCTCCTCCTGTCGTCCCTCCACAGTCACTGCTTTATCAATATGCTTTGCCTTGTAGTGCTTCAAGAAGTAAAAACCATAAAAATGTCTGTGGCATAGCGTGAAAGGGAACCTATGCATTTCTTTTCATCTCAGCTGCTCCTGAGACCAACTTGCTGGTCATTATTGAGTGAGTTTCTAGCGATTTTGGAGCTTATTTGAATTGTATGAGTTAAATCTCAGGAGCTGTACTATGAATAAGATCTTACTAAGGTGTAAAGATTTGTTGCTCATGGCAGTTTCCATCCATCCAGATTTAATGTGTCAGAATTAAGAGGCAATATGAACATAGAAAAAAAACACACAATTAACTTCACCAGAATTATTCCATTAGTCATTTGTTTATTGCAACCAGAGACCACTTATTAGTTCAGTTTACAAATACCATTGTAAAAACTGAAAATAATTCATATCTAAAAATTTGACCAACACAGGTTTTAATCTGATGCACCGGTGACTTGAGATGGTGGGAGAGAAAGACATATCGGTAAATGGAAGGCTCCAGGTTTGAGATAACTGGGCTGAAGTATAAAAGTTCCAAAGGACAGGAGCCACAGTGCAAAAAAGGTCTTCTGTCATTCCTGTGCATATTTGTACTGGACTTCACTTTATTAGTTACTATCATCCAGTCCATTACTGATTTCTGCTATGGGGCAATCCAAATGAGGATAAGTGAAGTCAGTGCTGATTATTTACGGAGGAAGTGCTATTATTAGGGCTATGTGAACACCATCTGATACAATTTATGCCCAAATATTTGCCATATCCTGAGCTGTTTTGGAGATTGCCTGAACCAATTTGTTCTTGGGTTTATTTGTATGTATTGTATGTTTCAGGATTGGGAGGGGAAAAACAGAAAATGTGAAAAATAAAAGGCTAAGACTTGGAATGGGGCATTATGC